CTATGTCCTTTACATATTGAATTATGCTATTCGTGTAAGAAAACGTTTGTCAACGTGTATGTCGACTGGGGAATTAGTTTAGAATGAAGACAAAGACTTCCTTGGGTGGTTTTTAAATATACCATAACGCATAACGTTGGCTGTCGCCTAGGACTACGTTTTACTTCTCCCTCTATTGTCACTATTACACCATAGGCATTATGACGCCACAAATACTACTGTTATGCGTCGCCTAGGACTACAATGCAAGTTAAAGTTTTTATTACACCCGAAGAGCCGTTGAACGGCGAAAGATCTTGTGTGGATAAAGGAGTTTTGACAAGTACGAATATCTGGACTGTTTTTTCTGTATATATATAAAGGAAATATATATCCTATATATAATATATATATATATATATATATATATATATATATATATATATATATATATATATATATATATATATATATATATAACGGGCAACCAGGGACAGACGAAGAGAATATTGCGTAGCCATGGACATTTGACATATGGACTTGATCCAAAGACACGACCCAAGGGATCGTAAAAATGAAGTGGTTTAGAAGTTATAACTCATTAAATAGATATGCGCTATCCAGACAGAGTGCTATTTAGTCTGTGACACTTTAAACAAGAGTACCATCTAATTACTGTAAAGTGTTGGCTTCCATTGACCATTGCTAAACACCCATCAGCGCCAATCATCTGTTTACATATATATGCTCTCAGCCTCATGGCATTCATTCACCTGATGAAGGAGTAAGCATATACTCCGAAACGTTGTGTTCCTCATAATAAAGAAGTTGACATATTCTCTGCCTTAAGAGTACCATCAACTCATATGCCGTGGCTGGGGCCAGTGTAGACCACAAGCACATTTATGTGTATGCGGTCACCACGCTGCTCAAACTCACGAGGATGTAGATGAATCTTGTTAATAAGGTAAACGGGACTGGGTCACCCACTCTACATTGCATTCATCCTTGAACATATATAAATATCTTTGCAATACATAAAGAATATTGTCCTGACACATTGCATTCATCCTTGAGCATATATAAAAATCTATGCAATACATAAAGAATATTGTCCTGACACATTGCATTCATCCTTGAGCATATATAAATATCTTTGCAATACATAAAGAATATTGTCCTGACACATTGCATTCATCCTTGAGCATATATAAATATTTTTGCAATACATAAAGAATATGGTCCTGACACATTGCATTCATCCTTGAGCATATATACGTATCTTTGCAATACATAAAGAATATTGTCCTGACACATTGCATTCATCCTTGAGCATATATAAAAATCTATGCAATACATAAAGAATATTGTCCTGACACATTGCATTCATCCTTGAGCATATATAAATATCTTTGCAATACATAAAGAATATTGTCCTGACACATTGCATTCATCCTTAAGCATATATAAATATTTTTGCAATACATAAAGAATATGGTCCTGACACATTGCATTCATCCTTGAGCATATATAAATTTCTTTGCAATACATAAAGAATATTGTCCTGACACATTGCATTCATCCTTGAGCATATATAAAAATCTATGCAATACATAAAGAATATTGTCCTGACACATTGCATTCATCCTTGAGCATATATAAATATCTTTGCAATACATAAAGAATATTGTCCTGACACATTGCATTCATCCTTGAGCATATATAAATATCTTTGCAATACATAAAGAATATTGTCCTGACACATTGCATTCATCCTTGAGCATATATAAATATCTTGCAATACATAAAGAATATTGTCCTGACACATTGCATTCATCCTTAAGCATATATAAATATCTTTGCAATACATAAAGAATATTGTCCTGACACATTGCATTCATCCTTGAGCATATATAAATATCTTTGCAATACATAAAGAATATTGTCCTGACACATTGCATTCATCCTTGAGCATATATAAAAATCTATACAATACATAAAGAATATTGTCCTGACACATTGCATTCATCCTTGAGCATATATAAAAATCTATGCAATACATAAAGAATATTGTCCTGACACATTGCATTCGTCCTTGAGCATATATAAATATCTTTGCAATACATAAAGAATATTGTCCTGACACATTGCATTCATCCTTAAGCATATATAAATATTTTTGCAATACATAAAGAATATGGTCCTGACACATTGCATTCATCCTTGAGCATATATACGTATCTTTGCAATACATAAAGAATATTGTCCTGACACATTGCATTCATCCTTGAGCATATATAAATATCTTTGCAATACATAAAGAATATTGTCCTGACACTTTTTTGTCACCAATGTGATACATTGCAGGGTCAAATACCGACCTACATATGTCTTACTCTTATTGTCGCTTCCACGTAATAATAACCGTATACTAAACGGGGTCGAGGAAGTAAGTGGCTAAATAACATGTTTGTCCATACAATGGTCAGCGCGAAAAATTGCCGCTTCAAACAGATGGAAAATGCGCGACCACAAACAGTGTTATATAAGCAACCACATGATAAGCCTTCACTGTTTGTGTAAAAATGCACAAGATTCTATACACATAAGAATCGCTTTAACAGCGATTAATATTCCCTATTTTATTTTTCGATGTACAGCAATCGAAAGTAAAATCCTTTCTTGGGTGTGATATTTTTACACACACGGGTGTGTCATGTAAACAGTTGACAGATGGACCACATGATCATATCAACAGTATGCCTGTCTGCAGTTAGTGATGACAGGTAGGTTCTCCGATCGCGATAGCACATTAGTCAAAGGGAGATGACTCTATTGTTATTACGTGCATGTGTTCTGAGACGATGTCCCTCCTGTGCGAGGTCTGCATGTCATGACCTCATGGTTGGGATCTTTAATGCCATAATGTCACGTCCCGTATTTAACATATTTCAATATAATACATCTTCAAATTTGAAACAGTGGACGTAATAGGTTCGGTATAACTTTCTCAAAGTGACCGGGTATTTTATGCTGACGTCGCGTTGACTGGGTACTATGAAGTGATGTTTATACGTTAACCGGGTACTGTGTAGTGACGTTGACACGGTGACCGGGTATTGTTAAGTGACGTTGACACGGTGACCGGGTATTGTTAAGTGACGTTGACAAGGTGACTGGGTACTGTTAAGTGACGTTGACACAGTGACCAGGTATTGTTAAGACACGTTGACACGGTGACCGGGTATTGTTAAGCAACGTTGACACGGTGACTGGGTACTGTGTAGTGACGTTGACACGGTGACCGTATACTATGTAGTGACGATGACACGGTGACCGGGTACTGTGTAGTGACGTTGACACGGTGACCGGGTACTTTGTAGTGACGTTGACACGGTGACCGGGTATTGTGAAGTGACGTTGACACAGCGACCGGGTATTGTGTAGTGACGTTGACACTGTGTCCGGGTACTGCTAAATGACGTTGTCGCGTTGACCGGGTACTGCTAAGTGACGGTGACACGGTGACCTGGTATTGTTAGGTGACGTTGACACAGTGACCGGGTACTATGTAGTGACGTTGACACGGTGACCGGGTACTGTTAAGTGACGTTGTCGCGTTGACCGGGTATTGTTAAGTGACTTTGACACGGTGACCGGGTACTGCTAAGTGACGTTGACACCGTGACCAGGTACTTTGAAGACATATTCATGGTGTAACTGTCTCCTCGAGCTCATGCTGGGACAACATGGCCACGACCCCGTTAACAAAGCTACGGAAAGATGGGTCGAAGAACTCGTACTCCTAGAATGTTTAAAGTATAAAGCTCTATAATTACTCTTTTCCCCTAGGGCCAAAGCTTCCAATATTAATGATTGATTTATTCCATCGGCTTTAATATTCCAATAGTTCAAACTATCCGATGTTGTTTACACCATGTGTGAAGGTTTTCCTTCACATGTTTGCCTGATAACCTTCGGGAGGACAGTTTCTGGTTACGTGGATCTATAAAGTTATTTTCTGTCGCCGTTTTAATGTTTTGTACTGTTAGACATGTTGGAACACAAACAACATCAGGACATGTGTGATTACAGTCAGTTGTGTTGTGGAAACAGAAACAGAGTACACAGAATTAAAAGCATTGGATCTGCACATTGGAGCTATACTTTTGTCAATCAATTAAACAGTAATCCCAGGAGATTCAGCAAACATCAGCTTATTCTAGGCTTGCTTAAACAGAGCAGAGGTACTCATGCATGCATCTTCCAAGCCAAAGTGGATATTAAGTTAATGTGGTCGTGAAACATCCCAATGTATATTCGCACTGCACGCAGGTAGTTAATGAACTGATATATTGCAGCTGACACATTAACTTGAATCTCTTATATAAACATCAATATCACGTCAATAGCAATATAACGTCATTGTTTCCAATAAAACCACAGCACTAATTTATAATATATTGGTACATTGACATATCATCCGAGCATATTCATGGTACGATAAATATCAACATATGCTATATCTTATACTACATTGAAACCATTGAAGTCCATTGAAATAATTGAAGTCCAATGAAACCATTGATGTTCATTGAAACCCTGTTCGTCTCTCACATTAATGGGAACGCATTATGTTTATACTTCAGTTTTGTTCAGTGATCAATTTGAGTGGTTTGTGGATAAACGGATTTGAATGTTGTTACTAAGTACAGTGTTTCCTGGGACTGAAAAATTTTGTTTTAATGTAAACATGGTATGACGTCTCTTACAGTTAAAATAAGTATTAAGAGAAAGGTGTCTTTTGATGTATGTTTTAGACGTCAACACTGATAGTCCTAGCTTCCATCGCGTGTCATTATCTGGCGGTTTCGGGTAATTATCATCATGAATGATGTTAGTTAATTTCATGGCAACTGTTTCTGTGATAATGTTCAAATAGACAGAGTTACCTTAACAAATATTTCTAGCGTGTTCTAAAGCATGCTCAACGCGGCTCCACATCACAATGATCAACATACCTCGGCTAATCTGATTACTTCCGTCCGTCCTGTCCTCAATGTCAGAACAAGAATAAGTCCAGACGAAAAGCTGCCAGCCTTGAAACACAGTCCAAGACAGAAGGTTGGAAATCTCAGGATTTCAGACGTTGCAAAGAGTTAGCTAATCAAAGTCCTTCTTGTCAAAAGAAGCTGCTCTCAGAAGTCCAACGTAATAGTGAATGTATGCTTCCGTAGATGGGCCTCACGAAGCAGGCCTCTTTCAAGTGGATTCTGGGCCGCTGAAGTCTTCCAATAGCCTTGGTCTACAGGAAATGATCGACTACCTTAGAAAAATGATGGGGCTAAGCTGTGTGTTGTCTGCAACTATACAAGTAATCTCACTCTGACTGCTCCATGCTCTGTCACTGAACTAGGAAAGGACGCCTGGCCAATGGGGAAGGGAGTCTAGAAAGCTAGCTTGACCAATGGTAAAATACCAGGCGTCGTTCAAGCAGCGTCTACGAAGGCAGAGACTCCTGCGCCAAGTATCTTGCCAGCTATCCCGCTGTACCAGTCTTCCTCAGTAGAGATTTTCAATTATGATCATTCCCAATCAGCGGTTCTGGTTATATGCCCGTCCTTTGCACTTCTCCTAAATCAATTGGTTAATTCTGACAGATTGTTTTGTTCAAGTTACGCAGCAAGGTGCGGCGCAGGGGAAATTAGTGCGTCTTAGCATATTGATGGTTTAGGATAGGAGAACACCGTCTTGTAAATGTCACCCACAGAGACAAATACTTCAAACATAGCGATCAGCAGCTCGGAATGTAAATGCAGGTTCAGCATTAACATTCATCATATCTTGATGGTAACGTATCGTGAATGTCATAAACATTGCTTCTAAATACAAGTGCAACAGCCATAAAGTTTTCAGAGGAAAATCAACCTGTCACGTTTTTTTCATATTATCTCTGTTGATTATTCTTTACATTAAACAGTGGCAGGCCTTACACAACGTCGGGGTACAGCCCTGTTCAGTGAGGCTCAACTCGAAACTAATTATACACGTTATGAATAGAGAGGAAACTAGTTAAGGTTCGTACTTCAAAGTGAATGTTTACATGTTGCCTGGGCCATCAATGAACGTGTTGTAGTATTGACTCGTTTGATCTTAAAATCAAAGCCACGGAGGAAATAGTCCTTCATTAGCTTACACAAACTGGGGTTACCTTTTTTCTTTTTTTTTACCCCAGAAATGTCTCACGTCACTGATGAAGTCTGCGGTAACACCACATAAATCTGAACTAAAGGATGTCTCAGTCCTGCAATGTTGTTGCAGTGAAATTGATTCATTGCACTGTTAAGAGAGGTACTTGTCTGTAACATATTTCTGCACTTGAATCCTTACGAGTTGTATACCGCTTTAGACATATGGTTTGGAGACAGGATTAAATAGTTCAGGAGCTTTATCAACCCACCTGTTCATCTGAAGGTTGAACTGTGATTTGAAACAAGTAATTTCACGTTAGGAATGTACACACTTTCAATTTACGATTTTCAATTATTTTGCAATAATGCGGGTTTATAAAGTTGATGAAGAATTATGAATGATTTGGTGAAACGACGAATGTAGCTACATTGTGTACTACACTATAAACACACTATTTTAGGTTTGATGCTGTATAACGACAGGGTAACCTACGTGTGTAACATGTCAACTTACATGTTACTTTCTGTACTTACGAAATAAAGTTACCTCTATGTGTACTTAAAAGACTGACTGACTGAGTATGGTTTTACGCCGCTTTTAGCAATATTCCAGCAATATCACGGCGGGGGACACCAGAAATGGGCTTCACACATTGTACCCATGTCGGGAATCGAACCGGGGTCTTCGGCGTGACGAGCGAACGCTTTATTTAACCACCAGGCTTCCCGACCACCCTGTACTTAAAAGAAGCGCCACGTGGACACTATGGTAGTTCAGAGCAAAGCTATACTTTATATTTTTATTACACTACACATTGGGGCAGAGCAAACTTAATTACTTTTCTAAAGTGCCGACTGTTAAACTAACCTTGTGTTTTGATGACGTTAAGACTAACCTTGTGTTTTAATGGCTTTAAGACTAACCCTGTATTTTAATGGCTTTAAGACTAACCCTGTATTTTGATGACGTTAAGACTAACCCTGTGATTTATGACGTTAAGACTAACCTTGTGTTTTAATGGCTTTAAGACTAACCCTGTACTTTGATAACGTTAAGACTAACCCTGTGTTTTGATGACGTTGAGACTAACCTTGTGTTTTAATGGCTTTAAGACTAACCCTGTATTTTGATGACGTTAAGACTAACCCTGTGTTTTTATGACGTTAAGATTAACCCTGTGTTTTGATGACGTTAAGACTAACCCTGTGTTTTTATGGCGTTAAGACTAACCTTGTGTTTTAAGGGCTTTAAGACTAACCCTGTATTTTGATGACGTTAAGACTAACCGTTTGGATGACGTTCAGACTACCCTTGTTTTGATGACGTTAGTAATTTGATGACGTTAAGACTAACCCTGTGCTTTGATGACGTTAAGACTAACCCTGTGTTCTGATAACTTCAAGGCTAACCAGAGTGTTTTAATGGAGATGCTTTTTTAGTCAAATCTTTAACAAGCAGCACCGTAAATTGAATATCTTTGAACAAGTCTAACTGGCAGGTGTGCTACGTTAATAGACAACATTCTTTTTAAACATACTTAAACACCACTAAAAAAGATAGTGATAGTTAAGTGTTTGATAAGGCTTATACTTTCTTTCTGTGTGCGTATTTATCGAATATCCCATGCAGCAATACGTAGGATATGACTCATGTTTATACATACATTTGGTTGTTTAATCACGTGACAGTAAACATTCCACAGTGCATTGTGAGGTCGAGTTAACCATGCAAACATAGCTGAGTTGCTGTGTCGCTTGTGGTTGGGAGTAGAGGTGTTTTCCGTCGTAAAATTTGAAAATAGTGTCAGCAGACTGCAGCAACCGCAAGCCATGGAATGCAGGGCTTAACAAGTCGGTTGCACTATAGAATACCTTACTCCTCGATTGCAACTGACGTGAATTGACAATGTATACCATACCGACTGTATGCCATGTTCACGTACTTGTACACCAACTGTATGTCATATTCACGTAATGTATATTGACCGTATGTCATGTTCACTTATATGACACGTTAACTTACACGTACGCTGATTCCACGGCATGTTAACAAACATGTTTCTTCGTTTTGATTTGTTTGTTTGTTTGTTTTGTTGTTGTTTAAAGCTGCACACAGCAATATTCCAGCTATATGACGGCGGTCTGTAAATAATCCGGACCAGACAATCTGGACCAGAGCATTGTTCTACGCAATTGGGATACGATGACATCCATCAACAAAGTCAGCGAGCCTGACCACCCGACGTAGTGTAGTCGCCTTTTACAGCAAGCACGGATTGCTGAAAACCTATTCTGCCTCGGATCTTCACGGGTCTGACCTACATGTACGCTGATTGCACGACATGTCAACCTAGTTGTTTGCTGGTTGCACGACAAGTCAACCTAGCTGTTTGCTGATTGCACGACATGTCAACCTAGCTGTTTGCTGATTGCACGACATGTCAACCTAGCTGTTTGCTGATTGCACGACATGTCAACCTAGCTGTTTTCTGATTGCACGACATGTCAACCTAGCTGTTGTCTGATTGCACGACATGTCAACCTAGATGTTTGCTGATTGCACAACATGTCAACCTAGCTGTTTGCTGATTGCACGATACGTAAAACTTCATGCACGCTGAGTCCAAGTATGATGATTGTTTGATACGTAAAACTACATGCATGACGACTGTATCTCAAATTATTATACATTTTTTTCTATACTTGCTGCGTTCTGTGTTAACCCACCTGCATGCTGACTTTATGCCAGTGTATCCTGTAAATATATTTGACCTTGTATTATAAAACGTTCTTACCTGTTGTAGCGATGAAAGGCTTTTGGGTGGTTTATTTTGGTTGTAATGAAAATGAATTAGGAAGCCGTCATGCATGTCTAACAAAACATCTCCAGTGAAATAATCTCATTTCCATAGTGTTTCCTAGCAAAGGAGAAATGCTCGTCATGTTTCGTCATTCAGTCTCAACTCTGCCAGATTGTGGATGTGTTATTGCTCATGACTTGGCATAGCACTTCGCGTTTAAATCAATGAATATGGCCTGTTCAAAGAAATTGTTTAACAGCTAAGTGATGTGCAAGTCAAAGGGGGAGTTCTTGTGAACTTTTCACCATGCCCCGTGTCACTTGTCGTCCAGCATGAAGGGACAAACCCGTGAATATCCGGAGTGGAATAGGTCTTCAGCAACCCATGCTGTCCGTAAAAGGCGACATTCTTGTCGTAAGAGGCGACTAACGGGAGCGGGTGGTCAAGCTCGCTGACTTGGTTGATGCATGTCATCGTGTCCCAATTGCGTGGATCGATGTTCATGATGTCAATCACTGGGTTGTCTGGTCTGAAAATTACTTACAGTTATGTCAAAAACTTCAAAGTGCTCTTTCTAATGAAAGCGACAAAACCCTTTCCATTTTCCTCATAAATTGCTGTCAAAAGCAATGTCGATTGTTACGATTCTGACGATATCATGATCATGATTTCTATGTATCACTATGAAATAATGATGACACCAGGTGTTCGCGAAAAGGTCAACGTATCCTGTCCCACCGGCAGCACCCCTCACAAACAGATGCAAACACAATTTAATTGTTCACGTGAAAAAAAACCTCAAACTTCAATCGTTGTGAAATGTAGACGGGAAAATGCTGCTTGGTATAACCGCTCGCAGTCACATGACTACCGATCCTCAGTCGGATTGTAACCACTGATCAAAATTCAAGGACAATGTTTATCGCTGAGAAAAGAGACATTTCCTGAAAAGCAAACTTTGCAAAAAAATTTTACTCTGTGAATTGTTGCTCATTGGCGGAACCGCTTGTTTTCGCTTCATAAGTATCAGCACACATGCAGCTATCTTCGTTGATTCATCGCGCGATTCCGAGGTAGGATAGGTCTTCAGCAACCCATGCTTGCCGTAAAAGGTAACTATGCTTGTCGTAAAAGGCGACTAACGGGATCGGTTGGTCTGGCTCCCTAACTTGGTTGATGCATGTCATCGATCCCAATTGCGTTGATCTATGCGCATGATATCAATCACTGGATTGTCTGGTCCGGACTCGATTATTTACAGTCCGCCGTCATATAGCTGGAATATTGCTGAGTGCGGCGTTAACCAACAAGCCAACCAACCAGCCAACCAATCATCGCGATATTTCGTGATTCTTTTTAAAGTAGCAAGGACATGTCAATAAACTTCTGTTCAAAGCGAGGTTAAGCTTTTACACAATCAACATGATCGTAAACGTGCTGCACGATTTCAATCATTTAGGAATATATGGTAATGTAGTTTTTTTTAATAATCAGTTCTCAAAACTGGAATTTATTTTTCTCAGGTTTAAAGAATAAAATAATAAACCTCATAATAAA